ATGAGTTGGATAATTGAATCGGTCACCTACCAGAAGATTGTCATGAGGCTGACCTCTTTTTGCAGCAGTGTAAAAGCCTAATAGTATAAAAGGGTCTTTTCCCCTTCCCAAGCTGGAATCTGAGTAACAAAAGAGAGCCTAGTCAGGTTGCAGCCTCTCCATTCCTCTTAGGAAGAGATGCCTTTCCTTATAGTCTGTTCCTTCCCTGTCTTGGCAAGTCTGACTTCTATGGTCATCACTGCTCTCGTATTTCCTTGATAGCCTTCCTCCTGGTTCACTCATCCAAAAGCCACATCCTGCTGTCTCTCCTAAAGTTTAGAGCAGAAAGGAAGAGGGAAATTCTGTGGGAGACACCTTGGGCACAACCCTTCTCACTTTCTTTCTTGTCTGGTCTTAGCCTATACCTTCCAGCTTCCTTGGTCACAGCCAATCCATGAACTTAGGCTGCAGATCCTGGGGACAGGTGCATCTCTACAGATGTTAGCTACAGAGCACCACCCCAGCTCAGACCCTGGGAGAGCAAGCAGGCTGTATTGGTGGGGAAACTGCAGCTCAAGCATTATGTGGGCAGTGGGCACAGGATCTGGCTGATCTATCAGGGAAGCTCAGCAAAAGCAGCCCTTTTGCCATTGCTTCAGGCCCAGCACTTGCCCTGTGTTCCCTTTGGTTGTGTCCTTCTTGGTCTAAACTCATATTGTGCCATGCAAACCCTGTAGCTTGGCTCCTCTGTAAGCTCTTTGGCAAGGTAGATCTTTCCATTCCTATCAATTCATGGGCATGCGATAGGACTGGATGGAAAGTAAGGTGAGGCTAGTAATTTGATGCGACAGCTGATATTGGGCCTAGACTGCATTTACCACTGGCCAGGGCTTAGCTTCGTGGAGCTTTTAAGAGTATTTTTAGTCCCCAGAAAATAAAAGAGAAACTAAACCTGACTCTGTGTGCTGTCGCCTCTGCATACTCGGCTATTTTTACTTCCGACAGTCTCGGCCTGGGTCCAGCTTTTAAAAAAAGCTGGAATTATTTTACTTCCATTAAGAAAAAAACCCTAAAGCCCGATGTTATCAAGTCAGTAAGGGTACATCTGATCCCAAAGTTGTCAGGCAGACATCTCTCCAAGGGGCATGTCAGAGAAATGCAGGGAGCTGGAACAGATCAGCAGATCAGCTCTCCCACTGCAGAGGCTTGGTGCTGGCACAGACCTCTCTGCAAGAGCGCTTGGAACACGAGTGGCACCCACAGGACAGTTAGAAAACTGACATCCCTTCCCTAGGCAGGATGCTGAACCGAGAAGTCCTGCGCGAGTCCTGGCTCTGCACTCCTCCCTACTAGGTCAGAGTAGCTCAGGCAGGCAGGGATGCTGAGAGCGAGCTGCCGGTGAGCTGGAACTCAATCCCTATGGCATACACCACAGTCAGCTCCATATGTAGGTCAGATGGGGTGCCAGGACTCATTCAGGGTCCCTCCAAAAGTAACAAAATTCAATGAACAGCAGCATTTTCTTGAAATACATGGGAGTGGAAGGACCTGTCAGCAAGATAAGTTATCAAGGGGTGGTACTTTCCAAACTTTGCCCTGTACCATTGCATCTCACCTTCTTGCTGATAATGTCAAAAAGGGGGGTCCAGGAGTGCCTAGGGTGGTGACAGTTTTGTACAGTGAGTCACTTGTCTCCTTTGAATGGGTCAGTTGTGATCTTTGTGACAACAGGGTTTGTGTTGGAGCTGGAGGGCTTTCTTTTGCTGCTGTCTTATGAGGCTGCAGCACCAAATCATATTGAAAGGTCTTCAGTATAGACCAGCTACATCTTGTAAGTGGCTGCTGCACCTTACAGTTACTTAATGTTCAGGTGGCTGCACGTAATGTTCAGCTGTGAAACCTGCCCTTGTGATTCCAGTGTATGTACCACTCAGCCTTGCTCCAGCCCTCTCTCTTTCATCTTCCTTCTCCTTACACTTTCCCCCTTCCATTCATATCCCAGTTTATATCCCCATCCATCTCTTCTCTACTCAGTGCTTTCCTTCATGCTGCTTCTCTGATCTCACCCACCACACCTCGCCATTCCATTTTAATGTCCTTTAGTGTCCCTCTCAGAGCTGCATCATAATCACTCTACCTATCTTAAAATCAACCACAGAGGAAATCAAAGTAGAGCAGCAGACATTAACCTGAGTACCTAAGTACCACAGATACTGATTTTGGGCCATGCCCTTTCCTTCCATCTAGATCTGACCCATTAGGCTGTCAGATCTTTGGGAAAGGGATTTTACCATGATGGTTATGTCTGGAGTGTCACAGTCAGGGACTTGAGGGATTAAATGCTTTTGTTTACTGTAGCACCTGCAGGCCACTGCACTCAGCAGCTGGTGCAGGGATGTGCTACTGTGGGGGTCAGTCTATTCACCAGCTCTGTGGCTGGAGTGATGATGACAGGGTAGAACAGTGGCTCTGTGAGTGCTGATTGAAAATGTTTGCCTCAAGGAGTGTCGCACAGGAAAGGGGAACAAGAGGAGGACAAACAGTTGTTCAAAATTAACAAGCTGAAGTCCTTGGGCAAACAGACCTCTATCTGCTCAGTGAGGGAAGGAGGGATGGAGGGTAAATCTCTCTGCATCTTTCTTATCTTTTTTTAATGCACTTAAGTCCTTTGTGTCCTTATAATCTGATTGAGGGTCCCTAGTACCGCTGCAATCTGTGCAGCCATTCCTCTGCCAAGCACTGGAGGATGGCATGCTTCTCCTTGGGAGGAAGAAAAAAGCTCCTTCCCCCATTTTGTCCCTGCTCCTCCCAGTTCCCCCTCCCTGCTGCTTATCAAACTGCACAGTGAAAGCATCCTGGAAGGCTGTGTGTTAGTTTCTGCTGGGCTGAGAATGGCACCTCCCTGCATGGATGACATGACCACTGGTGCAAAGGAATGAATTCTTTTTCTGGGAGGGTCCTGGGAAACTGTGATTCAGTCCTGAAGTCTTGCAGCCTGTTCTGGATTCCTCTCTAATCTTTCAGCAGTGTATTTCTGACCCTTTTCATTTTCATACCTGGTTGCTTGGTTTACTGGCAGCTCCTGAAATTTGTGTATCTCCTATCTTTCCTGGCTTATAGGTAGATGACACACATTCAGCATAGCATGGAATAGAGGTCTTTCTATATTAGTGTTGTTCCTCAGGGATCTCCCTAGATAACCTCAGGTTTGGGATTCCCTGGCTGTTCTTTCTGAAATTGGTCTCTGGTGCGTGTTGGGGCACCCAGGAAGGAGTCTTGCCCACAGCCTGCCTGCTGCTGGGAATAGAGGTAAAAGAAGAAATAGGCATCATTTTCAGAAACAATACCGTGTAATGGAGGAGAAAGGTGGACTTATGCTTAGGGATGTCAGTGAATTCTCCATACAGAGTCAAAAACAGAAAATGGGATAGGGGAAGGAAATTACTCAGTGTGACCTGAGCTCAATGTCTGAGCTCATTGTATCAGCTTCGTGTCTTCCTCTCTAGTATCTGTGGTCCTCCCACAGCAGCCACCTGCAATGGCAGTTCCCTTGCTCTGCAGAGCTCCACACCTGCTCATTCCTATTTCTCCTGCTCAGTGGGAGATGTTGCTGCCAGACTGTATCCCTGAGTGTTGTTGGCCTGGTGTTCTTGCTGCTTAGGGGGCAGTTGGTACTGTCTGTCAGTCAAATCAGTTTGGGCGCTCTAGCCATAAAGAGTATCAGGATCTAGATGTTGTTGCAAGTAGCAGTTTCAGGTGGCATAGGTGTGGCTGGTGTGAGCTTTACAGTAAAAGTTTTTTCCTTTCCATGGCATAGTAAGCAAACATGGCACTGAAACACAGAGTGACAGACATGTGCCTCTTTCTAGGGTAGAATATTCACCAGAAGACTACAGGTTTTTTCAGGTGTACAAGTTGTTCCAAAAGCATCACTTCAAACCTAATGTGGAGTGTTTGTTTTCAGTTGTTTGTGTTTATGTATGGTATGATTGCAAAATATTAATAGCTCAGTGTGATTAGTATCACATAATTGGTTCCCATGATCAGACTAGATAAACTACTGTGTGTTTCTAAGGAAGTACTTGTATAGTGTACATTCAAAATTTTATTCTATTCGAATACTCCTACATTTGTCTTGAAAGATTTTTTTCCCCAAAAAGCTGTTTTTCCCAGAAGACTAAGTTATCCCAATTTCATAAGAACTGCTTACCACAGACCATATGGCTGGTCAGAAATAACTGATTTCTTTTTAACACTATATTTTGTACTAATAGCACAATTTAGTTGCTGTTCCTGGTCTATTGATGCTGCTATGGTTTTTTGCAAGGTGACAGTCACTGGTACTTCCTAGTCACTGGGGACTATTTTCAATGTGCATTTCCAGTTTGATTCACTGTATTTTGAAAGAGCTGCAACAAATTCTTCAGTGTCTCCCTAATTCATCTTTATCGTGGCTTTATTGTGGTAGAGGTTGTTTCTATTTATTTGGATTCTACTTTTATTACTGTTGCCTTACTTGATCAAGGCTGAAACATTTTTGTTGGATTCATAGTTCATTATCTGTTTGCTGTAGGTCACTTTTTTCAAATATAAACAGTGAGATGTCACAGAACATTTAACTTTTCATTTTTAAGAACAATCTAAAAGCTTAGTTTTATAACTGCAGGTTTGATTGACATTTAAAGTCTTTCTTTTTAAAAGCAAGATCATCTAGAGGGCATTGAGTTCTGAAGCTTTTCATTTGTCCATTAGATTGATGGTGATTTAAGAGTTTGAATGGGTTAATTTCTGTCTTCATTAATGTTTTGAATAAAAGTAAAGCTCACAGCAGCATGCTTAGAGCTGGAGGCAGTCTACTTAGTATTAAGATTGCTGGGTTCAGCTGAGATCTCAAGTGTTTGAGAGAGGGAATCTCCCTGGAGTACGGGGAACATCTTACTTAGCAAATTTAAGCATCTGAATGTCAAGGTTCCCTAAGGCACTAAGGAATCATGAGGATTTTGTTTTTGTTTTACCTGCAGGTGTTCGTCTGGATCGAGTCCGTGGAGGCCGACAGAAATATAAGAGGAGACTGGATTCTGAGAGCAGCACTTACCTGAGCTTACAGATCCCTCCCCCAGCTAAAAAGCCATGTATGTATTAGCCTTGAATTGCTGCCCCCTGAGCAGCCACTGTATTTCTTTTTATTGGTCTCCCAAAATGTACAGAGTAGCAGTTGTCACTTCAGATTCCTGTGTCAGTCAACAGCACTAGGATTTTCTCGTAGTGTAGAGGTAAATTAGGTGGGCCTAAGGTACAGCTCAGATGCTGTTATTCATTGTACCTAGGGTTAAATACAAGACCTTTCCTAGAAGATTATGTAAATCCATTTAGTGATAGTCTGATCTTTACCCAAGCTATGTTAACGAAACTAGTCCCATGCTTTCTCTTTTCAATACCACCCATAGTTCTTTAAACTTTTCCACATCCCTCCAACTCCTTTGTGTCTCCTTCTCCCCTTGTTGGACTCTATTGAGAAAATGGCTGACAACATTACAGCAGCTTCCTGCTTTTGTCATCCCTGTGCAGAGCTGGTTTGGCATAGGCAGATCACTACAGCTTGTGTAGCTGCAGTGTAGTCTTCTCCTGTTGTGATCAAAACCATTACTGACGTCCTATGGGCTCTGTAGTCATGTCTTATCCCAGGAGGGTTCACCTTTTATCATGAGAGCTATAACAACAACTTTTCCTTTGAAATGTGCAGTGACTAAGATCGTCTCCCACTTGCTGGTGGCTGAGCCAGAGAAGATTTATGCCATGCCTGATCCAACCATGCCAGAGAGTGACATCAAAGCCCTGACAACCCTCTGTGACCTGGCAGACAGGGAACTGGTGGTGATCATTGGCTGGGCAAAGCACATCCCAGGTAAACAGGGCATTACAAGGGTGTAACATGAACAGCAAAGGGAGCTATTATTTATCTCCGCACTTATCAGTTTTGTCTTCAACCAGGATTTTTTCATGTAGCGATGCATGAAAAGTACTGTCACAGAAAACTGCTTGTGGTGGGTTCTCATTGGTAACAAACTCCAATGCAGCCTATGATGTAGGTGCATGAAGTGATGACTCTGTATGCACGTGCCCTGGGATTATGCAGAAGGCTTTGATATGATACAGTGAAGTTCTCTGTTGTACCTGGCATTGAGTGGCCCAGTGAAAGCACTCAGGAAACAGCCTTTGGGATGGTATAGTGGACTTTTGTGATTTTATACTACATCAACATGACCTAGGTCTGTTGTGTTTATAGATGATTACATGTTATGGCTATGACTGGACTTTACTGCTAATAAAAAGGCAGGTACACCCCGTGTCTGCAGTGAATGTTACAGAATCACAGAATATTCTGAATCGGAAGGGACCCACAGGGATCATCAAGTCCAACTCATAAGTGAATAGCCCATACAGGGATCAAACCCACAGCCTTGACATTACTTGCAACAGACTCTAACCAACTTAGCTAATCTCAGGGTCATTCTTGCCCAGACTCAAAAAAGCTTTTGTCATAACGGATTCATCACAACAAGTCCCATTGTGATAGACAACATGCTATTGTCAGTGAATCTCCAGGCTTCTATGTTGACAAGTGATGAGGACAACTTATTGGCAGTGTTACTGGCCTTGAAAGGCTCATTGACTATATTCAGTGTGTGTCTGTGTGATTAAGTGGCATAACAAGTGCCTCACACCTGCAGGTAGGGTGGACCGAGGCTGAAGGAGCAGACATGGCCATCAAGGAAGTTCTGAGGACAAAGATTTGGACTGGGAAGGGAAAATGCCTCCCCTCTTTCTAGTCTCTCTCCAATCCCTCCATAAACATATAGGTTGGATTTGTGTGTAGAGAAGGCTGGCCAGGGAACTCAGGGGATATCCTTGGGGTTTACATGGCTGCTTTCCAAAGATTGCTTCAGACATTTACTATGAACAGCACGCTACAGCTATAAACAGCTTACTTCAGCTATCTCCTGCCTTCTGTCCCTCTTCCTTGTGTCAGGAGAATATCCAAGGCTCTGATACAGGATCACATGATTTATTGCATGTTGTCTCTGTCTTCCACTGCATGGGTCTGTGTTCTCTTTCTTTGCTTCTTGGCTTTAAGTTCTTTGTTTGGTGAGGCATCTTAACAAGAGTGATCAGAGAGTTTAGTTCTCCCATGTATTTTGCTTCTTTCTGTAGCTCCTCTTTGAGCTTTTTGGTAGCTGCTTCTCTTTTTCCAGAGGGAGTATTTCTCAAGTGATTCAAGAGTTAGTGGTTTTCTGAGCTATATGGAATATGGATTGTTATGAGGTGGGACTGTGAAGTCTGGAGAAACTTTTTCAGGACAGTGTTTCTGAGTAGAGGTTAATCTTGGTGGTGCCCTTCTTACAAGAGATCTGCAGTATCTGCAGGGATTATACCCATCACTAGTGCTGGAATCCATCTGGGGCTGATTCATCACAAGTGGGGTTACAGTGGTGATTAGGGAACTCAGCCTGGATTGCTCTACTAACCCAATACTTGGGGTGTTAACAGGAATGGCTTTAAGGCAATGGAATTAGCTGCTACAGCTCTCCAGTGAGGTGCCCATGTACATTCCTCTAACCTTGGCTATTTCTGTTTGCACAGAGTGCCCTGCTGTAGTTCCCCAGCTTGTGGCAGTGGGATGAGCATGGGATGCTCAGCTCTGAGTTCCTAACGAGTTTTCCAGCCTGGTGATATTATCTCAGAACGGGAGTATAGTAGAGATTGCTCTTGCACCTCTCCTTTCTGAAAGCAGGACATACCTGTTATTGTCTCAGATTTCTCTGTGTATTTTCTTCTCCTGCAACCCAGTAAACAGCCACAGCCTGGTACAGTTCAGACCAGCAGCAGTATTGTACAACGGGACTGTGTGCTTGTGAGAGAGCTCAGGGACTGTTGAACAAGAGAGCAGTACCGAGAAAAAAACATAATAAAAGACAGTTCATAAAATGGAACAAAATACTCCATAGTTCCAGAACAAGTATGAAACATACTGAGTTAGGCAGCAAGGGGGCAGAGCAGGGCAGGGCCATGAGACTGCCACATGTCTAAATTAAACATGCCCTGTAGTTCTGCCTTCCAAGGATTTTGAACAAAATGTGACATTGCTTCCTGTGTGCATGAACTCTTGGTCAGAGAAGGATGGAAAAAGGAGAAAAAGTCATATATTCCTGCCTTGTATTCACACTGAAATTAATAAAGAATGGTGTGTGTGACATTAAAGTCATACCAACCCTTTAGGATCCCAAGTATCAACACAAACTTCTGCCCTACAGTATTAGCAAATAAAATCAGTAAAGCTTAAACACACTCTCCTATGATGATAATAATAATAAAGCACGATTTAATGGTATTTAGAAAATGTTATTAGCTCAATAGCCTTATTAGCCATTAGCTCAAAAGTCACGCTTAGCCAGTGTGGAGTTGTACCCTTCTGCACGAGGCCCCCTCCCCACTAGTCACTCTCCCCCCATCCTAATTGTCTTTGAACAACATCCACCTTTTCTTCTTGCTTTGATGCAGGGTGACAAGACTTCTCTTGAGGGGTGACGATGAAGACTCTCCCAGGGTAGCTGTTGTGCTATTCTCACCAGGAAGACGATAGTACTAGCACAGAATGAAATATGGCAAGTGGAGTGACAGCAGCTGTGTCTGGAGTGGCCTCAGATCCTATAATTACATCTCCTTTTATTACCTCTGCTAATGGCCCTCCAGGATGACAGAAATGATAATAAATTAACAGATTATGAACTCCACTTGCCACAAATTATGTGACTTTTTTTTTTTTTTTTAATTTGGGAGCTCTCACTGCCAAACCACTGAAATAAAAAAGAAAATCACAAAAAAAAGAAAAAAAAGAAAGAAAAAAAAAGAGAAAAAAAAAGAAAAAAAAACCAAACTGAATGTCACATCAGCTATTGCAAATAAAGCAGCTTTTTTCAAACTGCACCTGGAAAGGAGGGACACATGCATGCAGCTCTGTGCTAGAGCCAGGGGCTTCTCTTTGGGGAGCCTAGGGATGGCAGTGGTGCATTAAGCACCTTTCAGGACCAGACTTGAGAAAAGCAGCAAGAAACAGATCACTAAGGGTATTTGCTGGATGCTGGGCCATCAGCAGCTCAGGAATGCAAAAGGGTTGGATTCTCACAATTCATGGGAGCTTAAGACAACCAGGCAGTTAAATTTCACAACTAGAGATTCCCCTGTGTTATAATCCTATAATAGCAAGCCTATGATTTTTGCCAGTTAAAATTAGCATTTACTTTTTCTGATCTCAACTTTGATAACGTGAGAGTTATATGATCTTCCCTTTACTGGAGTGATTCAGGCATAGTCCTTTAGCCCTTGCATTCCACATGTGTAAATACTGGAGGCAAAGGGTCCCAATTCTGTCAAACATGTCAAGTCCAGGCTTGACACCACAGCGCTCCCTCTTCACAGTCTCTCCTGGAGCTGAAGTCCTTGGCTACCTTGGAATGCTTCTGGCCAGGGGCTTTCCCAGGTGGGTGGGGCAATTGCAGCTGGCTCTGTTTTTCTCCTTGGCACAGGTCACATTCTCTTCTGTTCTCACCTATTGTAACAGCCTCTGGAAAAGGGTGATTAACCAAGATGCTGAATGTACGGGTTACTGCTAGGGTTAAGTAATTTTTTCTACTTTATTCTGTAGCAGAAAAGTATGAGCCATGCCTGTCCTGGATCCTCTTGCTCTACTATATGACAGTTTGTCAAACTTTAACAAATTTTGTTGGCAGACTGCATTGAGGCAATGGTGTAACCCCTTTTGTAATCCCAATAGGGAATGAAGATGCAGAAAGGCCCCATGACTGACCCAGAAAATGGACTTAAGGCAGCAGCCTAAATGCTGGACTGATATCCATGGTCAGAACTAGGAGAGGGGTGACCAAAGGAGGGAATTCATATTCTAAAGACTACAGCAGTGGCTGTGCACAGACAGCATCATTACCCCTGTCTCATGGCTAATCTCATCAGTTTAGTGTCCAGCAAGCACAACTGGGGAGACATGATCCCAAGCCTTTGAGCTGCATCACCCTACTCTTGGACTGAGTCAGGAGGGCTGCATTCTAGAGCAGCACAATTCTGTGTGCAGGGCAGAAGAGTGAGGCAAAGGATGAAGCACCCACTTCCCAGCCTGAGCAAGAGGTAGGGTTCACCAGGATTTAGGGCTACGTGGAGCACAGGCTGTGCTGTACAGGAATCAGTCTCACAGTCATGGAGCTGGATTTGCAGCTCTTCTCCCCAGTAGCCCGGACTCCTCTTTAGCTGTTCCCTCAGGCACTCCTCCCCAATGGTTTATTGATTCTTCCCTCCCACCCACTGCTCCCCTCAGACCTTGCACTCACAGCACGTGACAGCTGATTGGTATCTGTTAATTAATGTGGCCTGGGGCCACTTTTCTATTCAGTGGCCTGATAAGGGAAATTGGATGTCCAAGGGCTGCCAGGCCATTATCACCCTTTGCTTCCCCTGGCAACACAAACACAAAACATGGCGTAGAGATAAATAAATACCACTAACCCACCCTTCTGCCTTCCCATCCCCAGCTGAGATAGTGCAGATAGAAAAAGAGATCCCACAGTCAGTCAATATAGCAATCATCAGCTCTTTTGTTAATTGCCAACTTGATAACAAGAGAAATCAAATGATTATCATGGTGGCTGGCTACGTAGGCCCTGACGTGGGGCCAAGAACTGTGAGCAGAGGGGGCTGTGGGATAAAGGAGTCCAGCTTACCCTTGAATGCAGCCACTGGGTTGGGAGGCTTCTGCACAGAGGCTCATGAGCTCACAGGTCTCTTGGTGATCCCTGAGGCTTAATATGCATCTGGGGAGAAAACTGGCAGGGGAGGTTGGTGGAGCATCACTCTCCCAGCTGAGAGGTGTCTGGCTGTCCCATTCTCTCACACCCTAGGAACCTTTAGAAGAAAGGAGCTGTCAAAAAAGTCAGCTTCTGCCCGTCTGTGATGGGTAAAAGCTGCCTAGAGGGGACCAACACACTGTGCATAACATTGTTGTTTGTAATGGCTGTTATATTGCCCATCTCCCAGGATCTTTCATGATTTGGCCTTCAAGGGCATCTGGTATGGAGGGCATTATAGACACAGTTTTCCTTCCCATGCACTTTTTTTTTCCACCTTGAGGTGGAGAGAACCTCTATGTTTTGTCCTCTCTGCTTTCTCAAGTAGACTCTGGGGATGTCAGGGTCTATCTCCAGGTGGTGATGATTGCTGTTTCTGTATTTGACGAGAATATTTGGTTCATTGCTGGGTGCTGGTTCCACTGCTACCAGGTTTGGCTGTGATTTAGGTACTTGTAAGGCACCATAAAGGTATTTTTGTCACTGGGTAGGGTTGTTGGCAGAGCTACTAGTGTGGAGATCAGGGTGTGATGAGGAATAGAGGAGGATTCTGTTTACAAATATATTGAGCTTTTGAACACATTTCGGTGCTTTGTTGTGACTGGACCTTTTCTCCTGTTGGCCAAAATATGAAATTGTAGTTTACTTGCAATTCAGGCCTGTGTCATTCCCTCCTATAACATCATAAGCCCTCTTTGCTGCCATCTGGAGCTCTTCTCTGCTCTTTGGTCCAAGCTGCAATACAAACTACAAGAGGAACAGTGAGCAGGACAATGTGGTACAGAACAGTTGCTGCTATGAAAAAAGCAGTGATCATTGAAACGAGGTTGTCATTAACCTTGGGCTGCCACAAATGCAATCAGAGCATCAGAATTCCTGTTTGAGACTGTGGGTGGGCATGGGAGCAAACAGAAGGATAAGGTCCATGTGTGCTGATTGCTACAGAGATAGGGTCACTTTAGTGAGCTTTTTTTGTTTTTCTTGATGGCAGCAGGCCAGTAGGGAAGAGTGCTTGGTTTGAATCTCGGGACACTAAGGACCTTAGGCTCCTAGAGACTTTGCTGCACACTCATTTGACCCTGCTTGTCTTTTGCCCTGTCAGGGTTCTCCAACCTCTCCCTTGGGGACCAGATGAGCCTTCTTCAGAGTGCCTGGATGGAAATTCTCATCCTGGGCATTGTGTACCGCTCCCTGCCATACGAGGACAAGCTGGTTTATGCTGAGGACTACATAATGGATGAAGAGCACTCACGTCTGACGGGGCTGCTGGAGCTCTACCTGGCCATCCTTCAACTGGTGCGCCGCTACAAGAAGCTCAAGGTGGAAAAGGAGGAGTTTGTCACACTCAAAGCTCTGGCCCTTGCCAACTCAGGTACAGCCCTGGCCCAGCTAGCCTTGCAATCAGGGAGCCAAGGCTCATGCTGTTATTTGGGAAGAAACTAGAGCCTACTGCCTAAGACTGCTCTTATGTCATGCAACATTCTCAAAGCTCCTCTCTGTCTACAGAGTAGGACTTAAACTGGAAAGCAGGGAGAAACGAGGCTTACTGCTGCTGCAGCCCTAGCTGTGCTCTGGCCCTGTAGTAGAAAGTGGAAACAGACAGGGATGGGCTAGCTGCTGGTTTCTAGAAGTAAAAAAAGCCCTTCTTCACTAGCAAACCAACTCCAGTGCTATGAGTTCAGAAAAGGGGGTGTGGACCACACCTGCATCCACCTTGGTAGTGTTGGTCAGGTACAGCAAACAGGGAAACCCTGGTCCCAATTTCAAATGCCACCAAAAGCTGTGGGGTTGAAGCTGCCTGGTCCTGTCCTGGAGATGTTTGGTGGCCACAGACACTGAATTTCCCTTTAACTGGGAGACAGTGTGGATCTGGATTACAGCCCTCAGTCGATCAGGCTGCAGAGTACAAAAGCTGGACAGACACATATTTGCTGAGGAGTCCCATCTCAAAAGGAAACTGCTAAATCTACTGTGTGACGAGGGTTCCCTCTGCAACCCCTGAGTCTCATTGTCTCACACCATATCTCCTTGCCGAACCACATCATGCAGGTCACAGAATTCACCCTTGCAGCCCAGCCTTGAAACCAGTATCTGTGTTTGGCTAAAGCTGCCTTACAGAAAGACACCCTGTGTGAAGCTGGAAGACTAAAAGAGAGTGAATCTACATCTTCCACGGTAGCTGACTCTAATAATTAATTGTTGTCTCAGGTGGTTTTTTTTAAAGAAAAGGCACCATATCTTTAATGTCTGTTTGCCTGAGTTCAGCCTCCAGAGACGGGTATTTGTTGAGCTATGTCCTATGACTCCAGGTCTTTTTATACCTAACAGCTTGACACGATAAAAGTTCCTATTCCATAGTTGCATTCCTTGGCTATTGATATATTACTTCAAGTAAGGAAGTGGTCCAGGATTCTGTGAGGCTGCCCTATCCCACCATTTTACACCATTCTGTTCATCTTTGCCATCCATACGCTTCATCACAGTAGCAAGGTAAAAGAAAAAAAGAAAAGAAATAAATTTCTTACAGCTCATTGATAAAAATGTTGAGTAGCATCTGGCTTTTTTTACTGATCCCCTGAATTTCCACTAGGAAACTCCTCCTGCAGGGATGATTCACCACTGACAGATACTTTGAGATCTGTCATCTAGCCAGTTACTAATAATTGAAAGTGTTCTTTATTGATATTGTATAGTGCTAATTTTTTAATGAGAACGTCCTGTGGTCCTACGCCAAGGGCCTTATAAAACCCCAAGTCTATTATATCTGTGCAGTTAACTTTATCAACCAAACTTGTAATCTCATCAGAGAATGAAATCAAGTTTGTTTGACAAGACCTCTCTTCCAAAGTATCATGTTGACTGGCAGTAGAATGGTAGAATCATTTAGGTTGGAAAAGACCTTTAAGATCACCAAGTTCAACTGTTAACCCACCACAAAACCACGTTCCTAAGTGCCACATCTACACATCTTTCATAAATGACATCAGTCTTAATTGAACGTCACCTTTATTTTTTCCTTTATTTTTGCCCTGGTTCACATCAGGCTACCATAGAAATTATCAGATAAGACCCAGGAAAATATGTGCGTTATTAGAAATTTTTCAGTCATCTTGAATTTCTTAAAAATACCAAGACTTTTAATCATTCATCTGCCCTAGATGGCCCTCAGCCAGCAATTTTAGAACTGTTAAAGCCAAGATATCCAGCCCTCTTGATTTCTGTGAAGTTTGTCCTAATAGTTCTAATATAGTGTTGCATAAACAACAGACTAAGAAATCATCATCATATAACACAAGTACATAATGCTTCCTTTTTCTAAACAAGACAGAAATACTCATTGAGGACTTCTATCTCTGCTGCACTGCTATTAATAGTTTAATCACCTCAAGGTGAAACAATACCCCCTACAAATGATCATTTTTCTTCTATTTCTTAAATATTTATAAAACTTCTTTACTGTCCTTAGCCCTTCCAGCCATGGCTTTTCCTCCTATGTCCTTCACTTCCCTTATCGATTTTCTACACTTCATAACTTCTTATTCATATAAATTGCTATCTAGCTCCCTTTTTCAATTTCTCATATACTGCTTTTTTAGCTCTAATTGCTGCCTTCACTTCGCCACTGAACCAGGATGGGCAGATGGCCAAGGCTGGCGTCTCTCAACTGTGGAACGGTGGCTTTTGGTGATGTAATCAACTTGTTAAAGAACCTGTCTACCAGGAAGGTCATGGGATTAAACAGGAAGAAGGGCTCCTCAGAGAGGCCGAATTGCTAAGGTAGTGGTTGTGACAGAATAAGTGCCCCACATTTATCTGGCCCATGCTATGAGCAGAGACACTGCAGGACCTGAGCCTTGGTGCTGTCAAGTTCTTCACAGTGCAACAGAAGCACTCTCTGCTGTTGTTGCTTACTGTGCTTTCAGGACTAAACCCAGAGTAAGCCTTATGAGACAGTATCTATCAGGAATGGAGAGGCACTGAACAAAGAGCAGAACAACCAACACTCAGCAGATGCTTTAGGGTTCTGTTTCCAGTGCTATGGAGTAAAGAAACCAAGGTAAGGGTCAGGAAATACAGGCCAAAGCACGTTCTCAGCTGGATGGGAAAATCCTGTCTGACTTCACTGGTTTCTTCTACTGCAACTTGAAGTGCAGCTTTGTAGGAGCATAATCCACAAAAATACCGCTTGTTATTTGTATTAAAAGATATGAAAGTAAAGCACGAGATTTTGGTTTTCATGTAATTAAAGCTTCTCGCAACACACGCATAAGGAAGCTAGAACAGGGCGAGTGTTTTTCTAATGTAACTTCACATTCAACCTTCACATTCTTTTAATACCACTTCTTTTTCGTTGTGTATTTTTGATGTGGGTAAATGTTTGCATGTATGAGCTTGCATGCAAACAACTGATTCCTAAAATGGTAGGAAAGCAGTCTGGACCAGGCTTCAGCTCCCTTGAGTCAGAAATAGGGTTTAAAGATGAGCACTTAGATTAGCACCTGTGCTGTCTAAACCTGCTTTCTGCCTTCCTTCCCATATAGATAAATTCTTGAATTTTCCTTATCCCTGCTGGGTATAATTGTTCATGCAATCCAGGTTCAAGGGCCTTTCCTCTCTTCCATATGGCCCTGTGTATATTGACCCTTTGTTTCTAGGAATTCAAACAAATGAAAACAGAAGTGGGAGCTCACTTGTTCTTCACCAGGGAAGAAGCTGACAATAGGCTGATCTCTGAGTATTCAGTGATATACACCAAGGACACACCTGCTGGGAGTGGCAAAGATAATTCAAGGGAACTCTGTCTTTAGTAAGTGCATTTTAGAGATCTGAGCAATGAATTCTTAATGCCCAGAGCAGCAGGCAAGTCCCAACAATATGATCACCCATTTTTTGATAGAATAGAGGTTTTAAGACTTAAGTTGTTACCCTTCAGAGCCAGCAGTCCTTCTTTAAGCATTCCTAGGTCTTCTTTCCTTAGAAATAAAAACTGATCAACCTATGTATTGAAGAGCTCTCCAGCTTAACATACAGCACATGTTCATTTTAGGATATGCCAGACTGGCCAAACTTTATTTCCTTTTTTTTTTTTTTTTCTCCCAATGCATTTTAATGCTGAGATGGAATGAACAAGACCTGGATCTGGCAAGGGGATCTGTAACAATGGGTCCTGTGAGGTTCTTGCTATTGCCAGAAAACGCATGAGTTAGTTGAGGAGGCAGTGGGCCTTGTCCATTCTCACACCTGCCCTGTACCCCATGCCAGTAGTGCTGGAGAAGGGTTCCTGGCATGAAGCCTGGCTTCTAGGCCAGCTGACCCTCAGGGACATGGTCAGGCAGCCTTCCCCCATCTCAGTGCTCTGACAGCTGTAAAAATTCATAGCTATTGATTTCGTAATTAACAGTTTATCAATGCCATTGATAGCAGTTCACTGATGGATTGCAAGGAAATTAATCGTGCAATGTTGTTTTATTCTTTGCAGTCAGCTACCCATTTTGAGCTTCCTTCAGCAGAGTGGTGGGGGTGGGGCAGGCTTTGATCTTTATTTCCCAATTTCCTCTCGCTGTATACACTTTGACCCTCAGCATGGCTCATTGCCTGGTACTTCTAGCACCCGCTGGGATCTGCAAATTCTGACAGGCTGTGTCTACTTCTTCCCCTTCTGCCTCTAGCCAGAAGGACTTTAAAGGGAAAGGCTGGAGGACATTTCCCTCCAAGTTTCAGCTTTTGATACTTCCAGTCTCCAAAATGTCCTCTGCGACTGAGTGGGAAACAGATCCCACTCACTTTTCCTGGACTGTTCACGGAAATTTTTCAAACGTGCTACCTGGCTGGGAGAAGTTGCAAACTGACTTGGCAACACACTTCTTCCTCCCTAGTTTTCAGAATCGACCTCTGTGTCTAGCTCAGGTCACTGCAGTGACCTACCAGCCCTTCTCTGAGAAACTTTGCCTGATCTTTTGGGTACAAAGTGTAAATGTAGCAAGAACAATTCTTCCTCAGCAGGGAATACAAACCTTTAATATCCTCTAATTAGTGAATTCCTTCTAAATAGCTTCTTAAACAGCTTTCTTGCTAGACATAATATTTTCACAACTGTGGTAATACTTTATAAATCATGCATCATAAATATTTTTACCTTAAATGTGTCTTATGAAATTCATAGTCTCTAATTTGTGACTGTGTTCTCCATAGAGATGACACATGTTTCTAGAGAGATTTTGGCAGTTCAGATGGCTTTCCTCCCCTTCACTGCTGTCACACTGGGGAACCCATGTCCTCACATTTGTCTGTGAGTGGGCTAAGCCAGAGCACTGCCATACTGCAAAGCCCAGGCTGTGGTGTCAGGCAGTTCAACTACAGGTGGGCATGTGTGCTTGCTAAAGTGTCCCTTTGCTGTTCCTTCTGGATTCATTGCCCTGTGGCAGGAATCTTTATCAATGGGTTCAGTATTGATTAAAAGTCTCTGAATAATGAAGACATGGCAGCAGTGTTTCCAGCGCTGTCAGGGTTTTAAGAAAGCAGGAAGAGGAAAAAAGAGCAAACTTTTGGTGATGCTGTGCCTGGTTAGCTTTTCTGATCAAACCTCTCTGCTCTTTGGTGCTACCCTCTGGCAATATAACTTACCCACAAGTTTAGCAGCCTGTTCCACATGGTTTCCTAGCTTGACCCTGGACTCGGTCATTACCAGCTAACTACCTTTGCTTCGTAGACACACCAAGGAACTGTCTAGCTTCACAAACCCTGCTAGCCCCTCTGACAGCTTTCAGGAATCTAACTGGCAGCCTAAGAGAAGAGAAGGTGTAGGTTTCCTTTATTTAAGCAGGAAGCTCCCTGAGCAGCTGCTGGCAGTCTCTGAAAACAGGGGCATATGCACAAAGGTGGGCCTGGCAACACCCCTGGGCATGCTGGTTGTGACCTACTGGGGCTTTTCTGTCTTGCTGACACCCTGAGCAGCTGCAAGGCAATTAGGCAGTTTAGACAGATGAAGCGCTAGAGCAGTGTTAATTATTCTTAATGAGATTGCTCCCAAGCGGCAGCACAGCAGCTGCTGCCCCTTGCAGGGTGACTCTCACCATAAGGAGCATGGAGGGCAAGTAAATGTGCAAATCACAAAGGCCCCTGGCTGACCCCTGCACAGCCTTGTGGTGGCTGGCAAAATGGGCAGCACACAGGGCACATGTGTCACCTACCCCTGGCAACCTTACTGCCTCTGCACTGCTAGGGCCAACACATTGGGCTACTGCCAAACTTCATAGCAGCAGCACCAACACCTGCCAGCAAGGTGGTTTTTTTCCCCTTAAGAAACAAACCAAATCAGCAACAACCCCCCCATGCCCAATCCCGGGTGGGATGGGGGCAGGGGGGAATGACAAAACCAAGAAAACCAACAAATACAGAAAAGAAGGAAAGAAAACATCCTTAAGTTCAGAACCATAAAGGATTTCCTTCCTCATGTCTGACTTGTCTGTTTGCTGTCTTTTCTCCCTTCCCCCAGACTCCATGCACATAGAGGACATGGATGCAGTGCAGAAACTCCAGGACCTTCTCCATGAAGCCCTGCAGGACTACGAGCTGAGTCAGCGCAATGAGGAGCCCCGGCGAGCAGGCAAGCTGCTCCTGACCTTGCCCCTCCTGCGGCAGACGGCTGCCAAAGCTGTGCAGCACTTCTACAGCATCAAACTGCAGGGCAAGGTTCCCATGCATAAACTCTTCCTAGAAATGCTAGAGGCAAAGGTCTGACAGTCCTAGCGCCAGCCGACAGTGGCCGGGGAACAAACTAGAAACAAAGATGCAGACAACGGAGTAATCCAAACAGCAGCAGCAGCCACCGCCGGCTTTTATCTCCAATCATTTATTATGGAAGAATTATTTAATGTCTGTCGGCGTGACTGCAGAATCTTGTGTACAGGAGGGGGGAAACTTTTAATCAGTCACCTGTTTCTCTTTTTTTTGTTGTTTTCTCTGTGGGAAATACCAGAATATGCTCTTGCACTTGTTGAGGCGGTCATTGGGGCTCAGCCCCTCTGATCAGCGATGCTCTCAGCGCTGTCCAGGCCGCCTGCTCCCCAGCTCCCTCCGCCAGTGCTGGAGGGGGAGTGGGGACAGAAGCAGGAAGAAAGGAAGAATAGTCAATATAAACTTTATCTGCTGGTGTTACGAAGGGTCAGTTAGAAAGGGAAGCAGCCATGGTCCTTCTTTTTGTCACCTTTCTGCCTCTAACCATAGAGCAGATGCTCCTTTGGAGAAGAGCGCTGCTGGACCTCTCCTGAACAAAAAGGCTGCCTCCCGGGCTCCTCTAACACTTGTACATACAGGCCCCACTTCTTACCGGGAAAGATGCTCCTAACTGTGTAAGATATTCTGCGACCTTGTACAGTGTGTCATTACGCCTGGCTAGTCCATCCCATGTACAATCCCTGCAGGCCCCTGAACAGGTAGGATGTATGTCCCTGAGAAAATGCAAGTCTTTCCCAAGTGGTGAGAGAAAAGAGCCTGATGTTATGCTTCAGTGCTGGGTTGACTTCATAATCTCTGCATCCTCTCCTATGTGGTGCTAACTACAATTCTTCCACACTTTTCATCCTGTAGTGTACCAAACCTGCCTCTTCAGCTCAGCTGAGTACCATTCCCCACTTGTTCCTTGTGGCAGAGAACACAAGGCTTTGTCTGCATGGTTACTGCCCAAGTATCAATACACCCCAAACCAGATCTTTCCTAGACTTCACTAAATGATAGCTCTTTGCCTCTACAGAGACTTAGGCTTAATGCCAAATTCAAGTTAGGAATCAAGGGCACTGCTTTTCAGAGGAGGCAGCTCAAGAGCCTGAGAGATTACTTTTCGTGGCAGCCTAGGGAAATAAATTAGAGGGTGGCATGAAACTCCCGATACTCCAACTACTGTCTTCCCCTGCCTCATCCCATTATCCTCAACAGCAGGAAAAGAGCAAGCATAGATTATACCTGGGGCTGGTAAGAGGTTCTCTTCCTGATCAGAAAGCAAATACCTGACCTTGGGTTGGTGGAAGAAGAACTGGAGGGATGTCTTTTTACGCCTCTAATGTAACCAGGTTTCTGCTGTCTCCAAGGCCTGGTTTATCAGATCTGCTGCCTAAGCCATACCTGCTGCATTCTCAGTAGCCAGAGGGAAATGTAGCTGACTTACAGAACTGACTGCTGGCATTCTTTGAGACTTTATTTTCTAGGTCACTTAGTTTTAAGCCAGCCTGAGCTGACACAACCTGAGTGTCCTGTCTGTTTTGTGGTCAGAAGCAAGGCAGTAGAGGTGACAAAAAGCCCTTGATCTACATTTGAGACACCACTGACTCTATTACCTCTGTTCTCTTCAAGCTTCCATCCCTTCCTGGCTTCCCCAGGAGACAGGTGGTGTGGCAGAGGAGTAACTTGCCCCCAGAAGGAAGTCTTCCAAACCAGGGTTGCAGTGTGTGATCAGAGAGACACTGGCTGCTTGTTTTTTACTGGAGCAGAATGTGTCACAGCAGGGCTGTCAGTGCTGCAGAACCCTGCCCAGCAGACTCAGAGACAGGTGCTGACTGATGGTGATCTCTCAGCTCTTGTAGCCAGCCCTTACCTTGTACTTGAGTTAGTTCAGTTCCATCTCCTTTGAGTTCTTCCTATGCTACACAGTCGTAGCTACTCTCGCTCATTTTGTACTCCCTTGATAGAGGAATTCAGTCTTACTTCAGGCATATTAGTAAACCAACAGAGACTTAAGGGGCAGAAGGCACATGGTAACTGGAACTCATACAGCAGTAGCAATTACACAGTGGTCTTGTGCTTTGAGCAGGTAACTTGTGCTTCTCTCCCCAGCTCCCTCCCAGGGGCAGCTGGGGAGAAAATGAGAGGCTTTTGGTTGCACTCATGATCCCTGTACCCATCTGTGATTGAGGGACCAAAGTGAAATGCATGCCACTACTACAGAGCTGGTTTGCCATGTGCTGCACTCTGGTAACTCTTCCTGGCTGTGGCCACTCCTGAAGGAGTGTTTTCACAGATGTGTTGTGTTGCTCTATTATCTGTAAGTTTGACTTGCTTGACCACTGCTGCAATCTTGCCAAGTATGAAGTATGACCCAGCTCAGTCACAGCACATTGTGTCCCAACCTGCTGTGCAAAGATAGCTGTCCCAAAATGGGTTGAAAAAATCCTAAGAAGCAATTTGTACTCTGTTGGACCCTGCTGGAAAGGTCACTTACACACAAAAAAAAAACCCAACCAAAAAGACCCTACCAAAAACGCCCACCCAAAAAAACCTCAGTCTTCTATCTTTGATGTATTTGGACTCAGGCTGCTTTCCAGAACAGAGAGCAAGAACTATTTACAAAACACAATTATGGAAAGCTGCCGAGTTAGCTTCTAGCTCACAGAAACTGCTGGCTATTTAGAGTAGGGCTATGGTATGGAGGAAACTCCTGCCTTGACAGAGCAATATAAAGATACCAAATGCATTTTTTTCCAGGAACTTCTTTCTTCATTAAAGCTGCACAACCTTGGAGCCCATCTGAATATCCTCCATTGCTTGAAGATAATATGCAGGGAAATGTTTGCATTGCTTCTGAAATAGGATGGGAACTGAACCAGACAATATTTAGTGTATATTAATCTCTCTAAATAAGGAATGCAAACTCTCCCCAGGAATTGGGACAGAAACACCTGTCTAGATTTAACCCTTAAAAGGCTTGTACCATCCTAAATTGGGAACCAGGTCAGGTCTCTTGGGCCCTTCAGGCAAGTGCAGGAATCACATACACCTCTTCCCAGTTACTCTGATCTGCTGTGAATCGCTGGTATTATCACATGGTCTCTGAGGAGCATTTCCAGGATGGTGACATCTTAGTGTAGTCCTCTCAGTGCACTTTGAAGGAGGAAATGAATCTTCAGAAACTGCTTAGGTCTTTGAATGCTCACAGTCTCTTATGAAAAGGTCTGGAGATGTGGAAGGTGAGCCATGAACTAGGAAATGGGGTTTGGATCAATGTTCTTATGCTGCTCACTTGTAATATAGGAGTCACAGAGTCAGCTCCATATACCTTTCCTTCTTCACAAATCAAAAGATGATGGAGCTTGAGCCTTGGGACGCAAAGGGCTCTATAACTTAAAGAAAAGCAAAGAAGTATAGGTAAGTATATTGTGACAGTTAATAATATGAAGCCCACACCAGCAACTACAGTAAAAGCAGCTCCAGCCCCTGATTTGCATGTGTGGATAACAGAAACCACATACCTGTCAGCTACTACAAAAGGCAATTCTTCCCAAAAGACCAGCTCTTCTGTTTTAGGCACATTCTTCTCTGGGAACACCAGCGTCTGGCCTGTAATGCAAAACAAATTTCAGGGGGATCAATTAAAATAAAAGGTAAATTACCACACGAAATTTAGGCTTCTGAGGAAACTTGGGCATTACACCTCACAGCAAAACTGTGAAGCTACAAGAAATGCCCCCATAACAATCAGGACCTTGCAGTATTGCTCATGCTAAGGGGACATTATTTTTTTCTTCATAAGCTCTATAAAGTATATAAAATAAAACATGCTGCACCAGAAACATGTAAGCAGCTATTAGAGGGGAAAGTCATTGAGAAAGACCCTAGAATGTAACTTGTTGAGCTTATATTACCAATCGGAGCTAAGAAAAAAAGAGCTTCCAATTTGTATCCACAAGCTATAGTCAATCATATGGCCAAAGGTCATTCTGTTGTTCTTGTGGCTGGGTTATGTGGAGAAGTCGGAGAGAGACAGAGGCTGTGAGAATGATGCAGGGAGTCATAGACAGTGAAATAAACAGTATCTACTTAACTATTATCTGCTTCTAAAAAAAATAAAATAAATAAAATTAAAAAAAAAGGAAAAAAAAAGGAAAGAAAAACCTGTTAAATAAATTGTATTCCTGTGGTACAGGTAATTTCAATCAAAACAAGAAATAAAACACAGAAATGTAAAAACTAACCTAGACAGAGTAATGTTTATTGTGTTTAGGAGCTGCTCTATTCTGTCCCTTGGGATGCACATAGACCCACAGAAGGGGCCAGTGTGGGGGAAGGCATGATCTGTGCATGCTGCAGAAGGGTAGGAGACCACCAGTCCTCTCACTTAGAAATGCTCATTTGGTGTTTTCCCATATAAAAAAAACTTCTCAGCAAGCTTCTGAGTTTTTGTGAGATGAGCTTTGCCAAGGACTTGTTAAGATAGGCACTGCTGTCTCTGCCATGGACCAGTCTCTTCCACTCACTCATTTTCTTCCCACATTCTACACTTCACTGGTGCAAGGAATAATGAGGAGCTAGCAAGGAGAAAGTCTTGAAATTGTTCCAGTGAAAAATAAAACCTCTAATTGTAAAATAGACCCCTGGCTTAAACCCAGCAGTGACATCATGAATGTTGCAAGCGTAACAGCAGCTGTACGGTGCTGAAGTCGTGGCATTTGCATTGATCTGGTGGTCAAGTGGTGCAAGAGGGAAAGCTCATAGCCACTTGAGAAAACAGGAGGAAATGTGTTGTGGGAATTGGGGCAGAGATGTGAGAAACAAGGACCCAGGGTTTTACTCCACCTCTGATTCTACTGAATATAGACATCATCACACCCTGTTTAAGCACCTCCATCTCCACATGCCTCAGCCAATGCTGCGAAGGTCCTTCTGGGCAATGGCACTCACTGGGATGATGCCTCTAAACCAGGCAATAAAGAGGCCTCTTGGCCTACCCTCAGAAGGAGAGGGTAGCTGAATTATTGGTGGTCAGTAGCAAAGTCCATGGGCTAGAAATGAGCCTGAATGAAAAAAAAACACAAGATGAGCACAGAGCTGGAGAGGGAGGTGAAGCACAACAAG